TCTCTAATTCCTCGTCGAAGTGGTCGACCTCTGTGTTTAATTTAAGTGTACGTTACATGAATTATGTAATATTGTGTATCCTTGTTCTTATTTATTGTCGAATTCGATTGACCAACTGCATGTATGGTTACTTATGTTACTGTTAAAACTTGGCTTATCGCTTTAATGCGTTACCTGACTATTTAGACAACTGTCTAACTGGTTAATATTAATTATGCAAATTTACAAGTTACGTCATTTACGCTGTCTGGATACTCTACTTGGTCGTTTGTTAAACCACGACTTCTTATTTATGAATAAATTTTCGAGGTGCGAAATTCTTTATCCAGGTCTCTAAAAGGGGACCTTTGAACCTTTCGGCCGCGAAAGTCGCAGCAAATTAGTCGGCTTTGGAAAAAATCGCTTATTTATAAGAGATGGTAATTATAATTAATGAAAGGTATTGTGCATGAGGTACAATTTCGATCGTTTAATATTTCGATAGTGCCACGTTAGACGTAGAACGCTGCATGAAACACTTCTGCTCGTTTGTCAATTGAACAACTTTTCTTGGGAATATTATTTTAGGCTACCGAATCCGTCTTTGGAGTCCCTAATCTGAGGGAAACATTTGAAGACGATTCTCCAGCAATATTCGGTTCTTTATTCCGCATCCACGGCAAAATACGGCGAAAAGCAGGGAGTCCATGTCCGCTTGTGCAAGGTACAGTTTCAAAATGCACGCCTGCTTGCTCCGTGCATAGTTTGAGCCCCCTCATTCTATCCATCTCCCCCAAAATCGCACTAATCGTTGAGGAAAAGAAAAATTCAAGCTGCTCACTTCTTACATTACTTGACTTCTCATTGCACTTTACAAACGTCAGTGCAGTGCTGGTCCTTCATGATGGCAAATCAACACCGAACCTCACCAGTTTGTTTCGTAAGTTTGACCGTGGTGGTATGCCTGTTTATTTTATTGTACTAAGAACAGTCGTTTTCACTTCCGAATGCTTTAAAAATAAACCAACCTCCTGAACTTATTTCACTTCTCGGATATTTAGTGATCTATGTTTTTTCAGAGAGCATAATATTAGTTTAAGAACGGCTTTGTTGGATTTTTTCGATCGAGAACTTTGTGTTTCACTCTCGCTTCTCGCTATTTATGCCATTTTGCGTTCTCATCTGCACCAAATCATGTTTTACTAATGTGCTCCAGTCCCTTTCCTGATACTGTTCCTTTTTTTA